CTGCTTGCAGCTTTAATTGGTTGTTGTTTTTTGCCATATAAAACTCTGCTTAGGTTGGCTGATATGGTGAATTTTGGGAAGTGTTGTTTAATGTTGCACTTTTAATGCATTTAAAATGGTAATTACTAGGCTGCAAATCTGAGGATATCATTAATACATACACACACATACAGTGCATGATGAACATACCTACGAAGCTCTTGTGTATGGGATTTACTGTTATTGTGTGTGTGTGTGTGGGTGTGTGTGCTAGCAGAGCATAGATTTTTTTTCATTTGTAATCACAAAGAAAAAATACTTTTGTAGTTCTTTTGCTTTAACTAATACACACTTTACAAACGTGCACATAGAAGGCGATGCTGTTCACAAAGTGCAAACAAAGAAATGAGAGCAGGATGTGAAACTGGATAATGTGTCTCTGCTGTGCTGAGAGCAAATTTCTTGGCCTAATAAACACATTGCCATATGGCCTGATGCACTGTGGATGACACTGCTAGGATCTTTGTGTCACAGTTCATTTATTCTGGGCCTGACATGAACTGTGGGGGCTATATGGATGTCATGTGTATCTACTTACATGGTGTATTATAGGTGCTTATACTGTGGCACTGAAGGCTTCCAAATAGAGGGGCTGTAAATCTCTGTCGCTCTTTTTGTCTGTCTTCTTAGGCTGATGAATTCTGGTTCTTGGTTGCAACCACAGTATAGTGAACACAGCATCCACCTCACCAGCACAAGCTCAGCACGACCTGGGCTCATAGAAATGAATGAAAGATGAGAAAAGTACAACACCTTTGTGTTTGTGTGTGTGTATACACACGAGTGAATGTACTGTACAACTTTTTAAAGTACTTGTATTGTATTTGATTATTTTTTAGGCATGACTCTGCATGCAAGACCTCCATTGCTGACATGAGCTTTTCTGCATCATGTCACGTCATGTAATTCTGTGTTTGTGTTCATGAAGATAAGTATATCCTGAACAATAATTTACCTCTCATTGCCATTGACATCTGTGGCAGAAGTGCCATTTGCAAATTGGATAGTTGCTGTGGCTGTCCTGGTGTCCATTTCTTGAAGCATGAGGTTTTCATCTGTTTGACCAGCTCTACAAGTAGAAGGGGTGTGGCCACACAGCAGTGTCACCTCTGTAAGCTCTCCTCTGGCTGATGGGGAAAATGAAAGGAAGAATAAAAACTGGAGAAACTGGAGATAAGAACCTTATCGTGTATTCACACTCGTCTGAAATAAATGTCCACTCCTAAATGAAAGTGCTTCTGAAACATCAATGGCATTAAACTTCTACAGTTTTACCTGCTGTTACAGTGGGAGACGGCTGTCGGCTCCTCCACCCACTGTAAGTGGGGCATCGACATCTCAGTAGATGGGCGTAGGCTGACCTGAAGTCCCTGTTGAGGGCTCCATAAAGGATAGGGTTGAGGGCTGAGTTTGTGTAACCCAGCCACAACACAATGGGAAATTCTGGTACTGTGCTAGGATCTGGATGCTCCTTAAGGCCCAACACTGTGAACAGAATGAAATATGGCAGCCAGCACACCACAAAAGCCCCTATCACTGCTGCCAGTGTCACTGTGGCTTTGTGCTCCCGCAGAGCCACTGCTGTAACACTGGAAACCACAGTGGTAGTGGTGGAAGGATTGTTCCTGCAGTTGTAGGTGGTGATGCAAGTGGGCCGGGCACTGATAATGCGTTTGGCCTGTGCCCTTGCAATGCGGAGTATTCGGAGGTAGGTCCAGCACATAGCAATCAGAGGCAGGTAGAAAGTGAGAAGAGAGTCTGTCAGCACGTAGGGTCTGTTCAGCTCAAAACGACATTTCCTCTCTGGAGCCCAAGGCCCGCGGTTCTGCACTGTCCCATTAACAGTATTCCACCCCATTTGGATGGGCAAGAAAGAAACGGCCACAGACACTGTCCAAACACTGGCCATGGCCACAGCAACTCTCCATGGCAACACCAGTGAGGTGTATCTCAGAGGCATGGTCACTGCCAGGTAGCGGTCCACACTGATGGCCAGGAGTGTGAGGATGGAGGCAGTGCACAGCATGACATCCATGGAGATGTAGAAGTTGCAGAAGACCGGGCCAAGCGGCCAATCATCGTTGAGCTGAAGGAGGGCAGAGAAAGGGAGGACCAAGAGGCCGAGCAGCAAGTCTGTGACAGCCAGCGACAAAATGAAGCAGTTAGTGAGGCAGCGGAGGCGTCGAGAGGCGCAGACAGCCAGGCACACCAGCACATTACCGCCGACAGTCAGAAGGATGAGGAGGGACAGGAGGACACCCAGCATCACGTTTGACAACATTATCGCTGGTGATTCACTGGAGACAATCTGATGACATCATTGCTGGACCTTTTATGTGAACCATAGTTTTCTTTTCAATTTTAAACTTGATGAGATGTCTCAGTTGTTGCAAAGAATAAAGAATTACAAGACTTAGGCTCATAAATAATGTTATTAAATATGTTCACTCAGCGGGTGTGGGTGCTTCCGTTTATTAAGGTGCATACAATCTAATCTACGGATCCCCATGGTCAAATGTGACTTAATCCTGTTTCCCTCTCTCTCCCAGTATTTCTTCTGTCTTAGCTACTAATTTACTGTTTGCTGTTCCTGCTGGGCCTCAACCCAACTAACCATAGCTTTCATCTTTCCTGGGACACCAGCATTCCCATTCACAACAACATTCATCAAAAAAGTCTTGCTAGAAGTTGGTTGAACAACATTTGTCTCTTGACAAATGCTGATACTGAGAATTGCAAATCAACACTATCCTTGGCTGTTGAAATGTCTATGATGTGTGTTAAACAGCTTTCTGTCTGCGTGGCTGATTCGTAGTGGTCCATGACATCACCTTGGCTTCAACACCATCTTCTGTGGCTCTGGTGACACCTAGTGGACAAAGATAAGAAACACAGTTGGTTATCATTACAGTATTTCCTGTATTTTCTGATATTGTACAGCCATGCTTACACGACAGAAAGCAGTTACTTTCCTTGGGTTTGGTTATAACTGTATTATATATAACTTTATGATTATTGATGGTTGATTTATTACGATCTCTGTGATAGTTATATTAACCCAATTTACATACATTGAAGTTCAAACACCATAACTGGATGAAAGTTTTAAAAACCACATATGGATGGATGGATTATTATTACTCATGTTTGACAACACTGTGCGTGTTTGTGTGTCTGCCCAGGCAACTTAGTACTGTATATCATTGAGCATACCTGAGCCTCTTTTTTCCATCTATGGATTAATACAGTACAAATGATGGAAAACACTAATGCAGTGTATCCAAAATATTATTGGATGAATGTTGGATAATGGAGAATCAAAATAAATCAAGTACTAACTTGGCACCATGTCTGTAGTAGCTGATAAAAATTATAAAACATTAGTAATCCCTGACAGAATGACTCACAGTTTGTTGGGAAAATGTACAAAAGTCTGCCTTTGGAACAAGGGAACTCTGATTTATGTCAAAATACTGTCTTTATTCTCTGAAAAGTGTTTGATACATTAAAATATTAATCTTTTGAAATGACACTGGTTACATGTGTAGCACCACTAACTAAATGCCTGAAACCAACCCTCACCCTTACCCTAACCTTACCCTAATTATTGACACACAAACCAAATTTAGGTCTAGCTCGCATGATTGCTGAGTTGTGAAACAAAAGTCTACATAGTTGATGTGTGTATGATTCTAAACGTAAAGCCTCAAGCCCTGCATGCATGATTTATGATAGTAAACAATTGAGTATAGGGCTGTCATGGCAATAATTAATCAAGTCACAACATTATGTATCATCACGAGGACTATGGTGGTTTTAAAAAATGCATGTTACTGTCAAATGTATTCTTACTTATAATGTTTGTAATTTTTCTTATAAAACAAGCAAAAGTAAAGCTGCCATTTTAGATAGTCAGCTAATGGGAATTCCAATCGGCCTATAATAAAACCATAAAGCAAGACAGATGAGTGCGCTTGTTGTGTGCACAGTATTTGTTCAGCTAAGGACTAGATGTGTAACTGTGTAAACAGCCAGCAATCTGCTAAGGCTAAGATGATGTTAAGACTTGATTTCAATATATTTCAATATATGATTAACATTTTGATTATATAATGTGGCAGTGCCTTTGAGCAATGTACTGGCCATAAATCATAAAACATTTTTTAATCAAATGGCAACATTATTTCTGGTAGTGGTTTGTAAAGTTGACAGAAATTCTTTTATGTTTTTTTCTTACATGGACCTTGTCGAGAGAGTTGCAAAGTGTTATTTGTCCTCTGTGAACTCATTAATGGCATGTGTGCATGAGTTTTTAATGTGTGCTTGGTGGAATGAGGGTAACTACTTGATAAGTGAGGATGTGTGTGTGGAGTACATGTGTTTGCGTCAGTGGGTGGTGGGTAATGTTTGCTCGTCTATTTTCTAACACTGTAATGGATAATGGGACATTTGCCAGACTTGGTCCAGAGCCACTCACTTATCACCTCAAAGAGAGAGAGAGAGAGAGCGTTGTCGAGAGGTGGACACACTGGCACATGAAGACCAGAAGAAAGCATTAGACGATATAATGAAAAAACGCAGAAAGAAAGGTTTTAATTAAATCTGGGTCTGTAGAAACAAGAACTAATCTTTGAACCCTAATAATCTTCACTTCTTTGTTCTGTGGACACATTTCTGTCACTGACTCACTGCTTTGAACTTCATCCAGAGCAAACACTGATAACACAACCACTAACGTATGAAGTGCAGCTCTCAAATGCACGACATCTCAGTCTTCTTATCTGACAGAACCACAGACTGACTCAGAGACCACACATTTTAACCATTTTTATCATCAATGAAGAAATCTGCCTCTCACACTGTCAGTCACATTGTTGCTTTGTCACACACACACACGCTCACAAAAACACTGGAACCAGTTTTGGCTTGGATCCAACACCGGCCTGTGAGGAATGTCTGCATATGGACATGAATTATGATCACTAGAAGTTTTTTAAGTAACCTTGTCTCAACCCTGTGACATAATGTATATAAGGGTGTGTATGTGTATATGTTCACACAGGAATACTTATCTGCCCTCAGCTGAATTAGTAAGTTCGCTTTCCCATGTTACAGTGCATGTGTGTGTGAGAGCATAACCATATTAGTTTCCTGTGTTTATTTTTGAATAAACATTTGTGTTTTATTAAAACCATATTAATATACAATCCTGCCCACTCACTTATCAAGAACTACAAGACTTGCTTAACACAAGTAAAATGCAAGTGACTTACATACATTTTTCCTTTATAAATGTAAAAAAGTTAGTCTATGCAGATGACAGTTAGAGTAGAAAGTCACAGTCAAAGTCATTCATCCTGATGTTGAGAAGTATGATACTGTATAGTAAATAAAGCATCACTCATTCAGACAGTGTGCTACTTTATTACTGACCATCTGTTTTCTTTCACAAACTTCTCATTAGTTGTCCCTAATGTAAAACAATGGTGAGTGTTACAACATCTGTATATATAATCACAGACACACTTGCATGTAGGCGTGCATGCACCCACTAACACACTAACACACAACCCAAAACACACATCTTAGTAATGGATTTTGAGGGCTGTAATGGATTGTAATGGCTACTGAGTGCTGTGTTTTCAACAGGATGTTCTACTTTTGGAGGTTTTATGCAGGAGAATGCTGTTTCATGTTTTGAATAGACTATAGTG